GACTATAAACGGATGCATAAATCTTTAGGATCCATGCATTTCAATTCATCTATTTAAAAGTGAAGGTAAAAGGATCATAGTATTTATTAGCTTTTTTTTTTTTTTTTTTTTTTTTTTCTGACATCAATTTCAGGTATGGAGCAGTACAAAATAGTCTTCCAGTATATACTGCAATACTTTGTTCTGTTTCTTGGCATGTGCCAGCACATTCAGTTGAAAGTAAAGTGTAACACAAGACAGCTTTTTTGGCACAACAGGTCACCAAAGTAGTGGAATGTTTCAGTCAAAACTCAAAGTGTGAGACACATTGCTGAAAGGCAAGTTGTCTTTCAGGAAAAGCTGAGACCCTTCTTCATCTTTATACATGAGAAGTCTTGCTCTGAAGCAGTTAATTACAATGAAAAATACGGCACGCTTTTCTCATAACTGGCCATGAACTGTACTTGGATTACACACTAGTTCAAGTGAAGAATAAGAGCCATATTTCTCTAACGAGTAAGGGGAAAAACAGTCTGACAGTATGTAGATGAATGTCATCTACTTGTTTACAGACCCAAAGGATCCCTCAGAGCATTAAAAATCTGTGTGATATCCAAGAGCGGTATACTTTGCATTGAGATACGCAATTTAGCTGAAAGCTGTATAAAAATCTGTAAAATTGCATGTAGGCAAAGACTACCGTACTGCCTGTGCATTCAAGTGAAGCCATGTGTACTTTTCCTGCACACATGAAAAATAGATGATCATAAAATCTGCTTGAGATTCATAAACTTCTGACGGGAACATGTGTGCAGGCTAAGTCTGCCAACTTTTGGTCAAACCAGGCCTGAAAATACACCAACCTGAAATAAGCATTGTTCTTCCATGGAGGGGGAGAAACTCTAGCTTCATACACAGCAAGTCCATACATGTTGTGTGTCCTTTGCTTGTCTTCTGCAGGCAACATTCTTTCCTTCTGGGTTGGGTCTTCTAACTGGCAGCTGGGCTCCCAAGCATTTTCTGGTGAGGTCTTTGGAATCAGACCTGCTCTTCTATCAAGAGGAATTCCCATTGAAAATAGGCGACCCCTATACTCTATTCTTTTTAGTACTGGTTAGGACCTTATTTGGTCAAGTCTCTTGTAGACTAAATAGATTTTTTTCACTTTTTTTATCCTAGGAAGTAATGCTGGTGGTGGTATCTTGCAGTAGCTCATGCATGTGGTGTGGCTCTCAAGAAGTGTGTGCAGCGTGGTTTGGTTTGGTTTTTTAATTCTGTACATGTGTGTTTCATAAAAATAGCACAACATGTTGTCAATGGTGAAGAGAATAACTCAAATGTCCCTTGTACATTTTGGGGGATTTGTTCTTAGCAGCTGAGGAACTTTATCCTGTGCTTTTAGTGCTGACTCAAGGAAAATGTTGTTAATAAAAATTAGCTGGACTGTAAGAAGCCTTTTTTCATTGGTATTCTTGGCCAAGGTCACCTCCCCAGGGCCTTTAGAGACACCAGACGCAAGCTATGAAGTGTTTTAAAGATAAGGATCCACAAACTCAGCTTTATAGTCTTTGGGTAGACAGAGCAGAATGAAAACGGTGGTTGTGTTCCTATAGCTTGTATTGCTAAGGAGGTTTTGCTACACTTGTCTGTTCCATTTGGCTTGTCCCAACTTCTGGGAAACTTTTTGGAAACTGCAGGCTTCCAAGATCAGCACAGCCAAGATATAATACAAGTGTGAATAACTGAGGTTGCATAATTTGTCGCTAGTACACCATCTCCTAGCCAAGCACAGCAACAGAAGGCATTACTCACAGACGTGGCTATGTGGGACTGGGATCAGGTGCAGTCTGGCCCCAGGCCTCAGCTGCTGGCTGCTGCTGCCCAGTCCTTGCTAAAGGAGTGTAGGGTACAGCCAGGGCAGACCCTGCCCTCACCTTGAGATCTCAACCAGCTGCTTTTCATTTGAGAGCTGCTCTCCTCCCAGCACTGGTCCATGTGGCATGACCCCATGTATTGGATAAAAGTGCATCAGTATCAGCTGACCTTGAAGCCTCTCATCTGCCCATTCCTTGTAGTGTAAGCATCTCAAAACTGTGCAGGCCTCAATAAAGCTCCACAAGTAACAGGTTTAGTTCTTGTGATGAGGAGAGACTACATGGCATACTGGAAGGGCCGTTCCAAGAAGGATTCAAATTGCTTTTGCTGCTTACCTGGTGCTGGAGCCAAACACGTAACCACAAGGAAGCGTACCATTGCCTGTTGGTCTTTGGTACTTGGTTTGGACATGGAGAATGGGGGACCGGGGCACACGTGTTGTGACCTCAGTATCTCACTGAGAAGATGCTGGTTGCGTTAGGTACCTCAAACTAGCATAACGCTGCCTGCGTGGTAGCCGACCTATCGCATGGTTTAGAAGTAGTTGTTTTTGTGTAGCTGTGAGATGGGATGGGCACATCAGGGAGTACGAGACTGCAGGTGTCAACTAATCTAAGTGTTGAAGTATAGCTGGGAATAATGTCTTACCGAGAGATTGTGTGCCCAGTATCACATTAATGGGACAGAAGAATGTATGCTTTGGATCTAGGAACTACATGAAAAAATGATTTTATCTCAGTCTCTATAATTCAGAAGAAATTGCTAGAGAGCGTAATGGAGAAATGGGGCTCGTGGGTCCAGCTATCCCTTTTGGAACACTGACAGATGTATTTTTGTCATAAAAATGTTTTCATGAGTAAAGTTTTCATATCAACAAGGAAAATCTTTTTTAAAAAAATACCAGTGCTAGTCACAATAAAAAACGTAATACCGTGCCTTAAGCAGACTGCCCTTCAGACAGCTTCAGGTTCACAGTTCAAGCATCATGTTGTGACAATTACAGGACCTCTGGTGGAGCTTCCATATTCCAAAGTCAGAAAACAAGTATAAAAATAGAGGGGCTCCTTTGTCTCCCCAGGCAGTGCCTGTTGTCTGCGTGGCTGAAAATAAAGCAGGGTAAATGTAAGTCAGAGCCGTGTGCCTGAGTCTCGGTCGCTGCGGTGTTATATGGCACTCTGGGGACAACACGGGCCGTAGCCAGGCTTCTGCTGCTGTATTTAATGCTACTCTGTGAACGCCGGCTACACTCACGGTATCATCTTGGGCGTGAGTTACAGTGACAGGAGAGACAGATCAGAGAGGACCTGGCTGCGAGACTGGGAAAGAGCGGCCTAACAGTTTCATTCCCTGTATAGTCTGGTTACACTGGTTTCTAAATGAGGAGGCCAGTGATGCCTTTATGAGCTTGTAGCTATGTAGAAATGAAAGGGGATTGGGGTGGAAGAAGGGAGGAAGTGGAGGAAAAGAAGAAAAAGAGAATGAGAATAAAACTGTGGGCCACAGTAACTGCTACTAGGGGACAATAGAGCGGTGAGACCGAATAGAGAAACCAGGGAAGTGGGAAAAAGAAAGAAGGGGGGAGCAGAAAGAAAGAGCGAGCGAGCAGGACATTCCCCTGGTGAGGCCGTGTGACTGTGGTACCTGGCCAACCAGGACTTTTTTTATTTAAGCACCTCAGTGATCAGCCAAGCAGAGAGCTGAGTTTCAGCAAGCAACAGATAATGAATGTGAGAAAGGAGAAACAAGTTAAAAACAAAAAGAAAGAGGTGAGAAGGGGTAATAGAAACAATATGATAGTAAATGGAATAACAGAATGGCATGAAAAAGTGAAATAAAGAGCTAAAGGGAAAGAAAAAAATTGATCTGGCACCAGGTGTTCAGCTGACAGATGCTCAGTAAGCCCACGGAAGATCAAGGATGAGATTCAGTGCAACCACTAGCAGGCAGTAAAAATTAGTATTTCCTTTCTGCTAGGTGCTGCTTAGAGCTTGATTAGTCAATGGGAAACAGTAGGCACAGGGATTTCTGTGGATCTTCATCAGAGCCTTAGCACATACTAGAATGTGCAAATTGATACCTTTTTAATTGTAGCAAAGGCTTCAGGATTACAAGCGGGTAGATGAGGCCAATGCAGATAGTGGCAGGGGGGCAGAGCAAGGGGCAGATGTGCGTGTATGGGGCAGAAAGGGGGCAGAAGAAAACCTGTCATAGTTTATGGAGAAGCTGGATAGGAATTATGTGAGCATAAAGTATTCCTTGGCTCTCGCATACCAGGCCCCTATAGGAAGGGATACTAAGGAGTAGTACTGTGGCTGTGGATTTGTGTTGACCCCTCAAAGACGTTAGCCAGTATCCTTAAAGAGCGAGTCTTAAATCTGTAACTCAAGGGTCGAAAAGGAGGTCACCCTGTCGGGGAAAGCAAACTTTCCAGCAGGGCCTCTCCTACGCTCGTTCCTGGGTCTCGGGGGCCGCGGGGAGACCGTGCCTGTGCCCGCCCTCGGGGGTCGCCCCTGCTCGCCCGCCGGAGCCCCTGCTCGAGGGTCTCTGTACCCCGCAACGAGCTGGGGGGGCAGAGGAGGGGCAGGGCGAGCCTCCTCGCTCCGCGGACGGCTCCCGCATCCTCCCGGGCCCGGGGGTCGGCGGGGACCGAGCGCCCGGGTCTGGAAAGCACTTCCCTGCGGCGAGACTAGGGTCGGGCCGGGGCGAGCGGCTCCGAGAACCGGACGCAAAGCGGATAGCACCGACCGGAGGGGGGCGGGGGGTGCGCAGAGGGACGGAACGACGGCCGGCTGCTGCTGTGTTCCCGTCGCCCCGGCAGGGTGGGGGAGTCCCCACCGCCCCTCCGCCTCCCAAAACTCAAGCTCCGGAGAGGAGGAGGAGAAGGATCCGCGGCGAAGGGCGCAGCGGGGGAGGCGGCTCCCGCAGCCCCGGGGCTTCC